TATCGATACCGAGCGATGAAATCAGGGCCAAGCGCCAGCAATCCCAGGCTATAGCATCGGCGGGGGCACGTTTCGAGTGAACAGCCTCTGGTTTGTTCTGCTGCTGTAAAGTTCGCCATGTTCATTAGGACACCACTCCACTGGCGCACTTGGCACGCAGAGAGCCCGAGTGCTTCTCGAAGGAAACGGTCCTCCGACGCGAGGATGACCTGTACGCTGATGGAGTCTAGTGATCGCATCTCCCGCCCCTCTCATTCTGTTGGCGATAGGATACTGTGTATGATGTGAGCGACTCTGAGAAGAGGTCTGAGTGTACCGGGCAAAGACAGTCCAAGCTAGGGCCATCCGATCCTTGCGCCGTAGATCCCATTGGTGGCGAACGCATCGAAGCAGAGGTGCTAGCCAGTCAGCACCGCCGCTTGCTCGCAACCGCCTCCCTTGTTCCCTCCTGCAGGATCCTGGGTGCCGGCCGATGGTGTTCGATCCCCCTGGTCTCTCAAGCTGCCGTGAAAATGCCTTTTTCTTTTGGCCGCTGCGTGCCTTGCTTGCCCTTGATCATTGGATGCGATAACACCTGGCCTGACTCCATCGCAGCCCCGGCACATCCCAAGTGGGGAAAGTGGCATCGCGCACTTGTGTACAAGTTCGCCTTGTTGGTCCACAGGCAACTCCACGCAGCAGCTGCAGATATCACTTCGCCTGCGCTAGGGGTGCCCAGACAGCCATGACGGACACGATGTCACCTAGATTCGAGAAACTATATGTAGCACGCGCGCTGCCGGCTTGGAATTCGAGTGCTCGGCTGTTTCTTGTCCCTCAAGCAGGATCTGGTGTACCTCTTGTCTTGTCTTGACTTTTCTTGGAATATCTTGGTAGGCCAAGCCATCCACCACCCAACGCCCGCCATGGCGACGAAGACAGCTGGCGGCAACGCCGCCTTCCACAACTTCCACAACGACTTTGCCCACATCCAGGATCCCAACGAGCGACGTCGACTTGCTCTCGCCGAGATCGACAAGGCGCCTTTTGGCTGGTACCATATCCGCGCCATCATCGTCGCCGGCATTGGCTTCTTCACCGATGCCTACGATATTTTCGCCATCAACTTGGTCACGGCCATGTTGGGTGTGGTCTACTGGCAGGATGCTTCCAACCCCAAGAATGCAGGAAAAATCCCGTCCAACTCAGACACTGCCATCAAGGTCGCAACTTCTGGTGGCACGGTTATTGGACAGCTCGGTTTCGGCTGGCTGGCTGATGTGGTCGGTCGCAAGAGAATGTACGGCCTCGAGTTGATCCTCATTATCTTCGCAACTCTTGCCCAGGCTCTCTCCTCCGACTCCCCTGCCATCTCCGTCGTCGGTCTTATCATCTTCTGGCGTGTGATGATGGGCATCGGTATTGGCGGCGACTACCCACTTTCTTCAATTATCACTTCTGAGTAAGTTGACCTGAGCCTCGCCTCGTCTGTCCCCTGCTAAACCCGCTTCCAGATTCGCCACAACCAAGTGGAGAGGTGCCATGATGGGTGCTGTCTTTGCCATGCAGGGCATTGGTCAGTTCACTGCTGCCATCATTGCTCTGATCGTCGTGTCCGGCTTCCACAACTCTCTCAAGACTGCCGCGACGGTCGATCTTTGCGATGGTGTCTGCCAGCTCGCCGTCGACAAAATGTGGCGTGTCATTATTGGGTTTGGCGCCGTCCCGGGCTGCATTGCTCTGTACTTCCGTCTCACCATTCCCGAAACTCCTCGCTACACTTTCGATGTTGCCCGCGACTCTGAGAAAGCCGTCGAGGACGTCAAAGCCTACCGATCTGGCCAACGCGAGGGCAAGCCTGACGAGGTCAGCCGTGCCGCCGTCCTCCAGGACTCTCGCCAACGTCTTGATCCGCCCAAGGCCAGCTGGAGCGACTTCTGGCGCCACTACAGCCAATGGAGACACGGAAAGGTCCTCATTGGAACTGCTGGATCCTGGTTCTTCCTCGGTAAGATATTCTTCTACATGTTGCTGCCGATACAAAACTAACACCTTCCTACAGATGTTGCTTTCTATGGTCTTGGCCTCAACAACTCCATTATTCTTCAGGCTATCGGTTATGCCAAGGGTGACGACGTGTATGAGATCTTCCGCAATACTGCCATTGGCAACTTGATCATCGTCTGCGCCGGTGCCATTCCCGGTTACTGGGTCACCGTTGCAACCGTCGACACCCTCGGCCGCAAGCCTATCCAGATGATGGGCTTCATCCTTCTGACCATCATCTTCATTATCATTGGGTTCGCGTACAGCCACCTGGGCGAGGGCGGTCTTCTGGCCCTCTACGTTTTGGCCCAATTCTTCTTCAACTTCGGCCCCAACGCCACCACATTCATCGTCCCTGGCGAGTGCTTCCCTACCCGTTATCGATCCACCTCGCACGGTATTTCCGCTGCCTCGGGCAAAGTTGGTGCCATCGTCGCGCAGACTGTGTTCGGACCGCTCCGAACAAAGGGCCACCCTACTTCGGCCAACCCCTCGCCCTGGCTCAACCATGTCATGCAAATCTTTGCGCTGTTCATGCTTTGCGGCTGCTTCACCACTCTTCTGATCCCGGAGACCAAGCGCAAGACCCTCGAGGAGCTTGCCGGCGAGGTTCCAGGTACAAAGAACTATGATCCCGAGTCTGCTGGACACCGCAAGTCGTCGTACGTCCCTCCCGCCGCTGGCGAGCCTCTCACCGAGAACGGCGAGAAGACTGCATGAACGACTTTGCCAACAGGACAGCCTGTCATTTCCTAGATACGCAACCTTGACGTTAGCGGTGTAAACCAGGTTCCCATGAAGAGTGGATAGTGGAGTTGTAGATTAATCAAAACATTCACAATGTCGCAACATGTTTGGCAGTTCTCGATCTTCACCTTCGCGGTTCACATGCCATGCTTCCCATAATGGGTGTCACTTGACGTCTGTTTTAACGTTGACCAGGCTATCGTGGCAAAGATCTCATCCCGATCGATTCTGCAGGTATTTTCTGCATTGGCTTCTTGCCGATCATTTCTCGTTGCACCGTCCCACATGCTAACAGAACGATTAGTAGCTCCCAAAACCATATTCGATTGGTCCATCGCGGACGAGGCGTCCACGGACAGGGGCGGATATCAACTCCGAGCTAAGCACCAGCAGAAAAGCTGCAGAAAAGCTTACGCGGCAGCCATGCAGTCCCGGACCGCTCGGAAGCACGCCTTCTCTGCCATCGCAGCTACTGGGTAGTTCTGCAGATCAGATAGTCGAGATCAGGGTCGAGGGCAAGCTAGGCGTAGGGGCGGGTGTGGAAACAGGTAGGAACAGGTAAAGGCAGAGGCCTAAAACATGGGGAAAGACAGGGTCGGGTGCATGGTGAGTACAAGTAAAAAATCGAATCATCCGAGTCCCAGGGTCCAGGCCGAGAAAACGATTCTGTACTCGTACTGCTCCTGCTCCTGCTGCTGGAAGGTTCTGCTTCCCACTCATTCGGCTTGAGGTCGCGCGCGTCATCAGAGACCCAAATGAGGATTGTGAGGCGCCATTCGATCCCGATTGTCTCCCTCTGTCTGTGCTTACAGTTGATTGACTGGCCAAATAGCTCATGTACGTCCATCCTGCCTGTGGATCGTCTCGCAATATTCCATCTCGTGGAGGTTGTGGGAAATATCCAAACTCACCTTCTCAATCTTCCGTCGTCAGGCTGGATCCGGCCATCACACAGGACTCTAGGCAACATCACAGACCTGAGCCCTTGCCGGTTGATCCATCAGAAGAGGTTCGCTCTGAATTGACAAGACTCTCTTTTCCAGAGTAGAGGGTCATTCGAGCTGAAGATATTACTCCGACCTTCTCGCGGGTCTCGCGACGGCGGCTACGGTCACGTCCTATTGGGGTCATGAACAGGCGAAGAGGCGAATGGACGTGTATAGTGGACTTTCAGCGACGATTCCTATGCGAAACCTTGAGCAGAGTTTATAGTTAGGAGCGTCAACTCGGAAGTTGCAAGGACCAAAGTCGAGCATTATAGATGGACACCACACCGCGACTGGGTCTGCCGTTCCATGAGGGATGCATGGATGGGTAACACGTTCAGGCTTTTCCGGCTTTGATGGGTCTACGGTTGAGCATAGGTGGCACGCGATGGAGCACAGCATACTGTGGAGCATAGTATCTGTCAGGACAGCGCTTTATGGTGGAGCATAGAGCCATGACCCGAAGAAGGCCACAGCTTCATTTCACCAATGCGTGTATGTCACAGTAGGCACTCGACGACCACGCGACCTAGATACCTCTGTTCTTTCCCAAAATGTCCAACTTATGCTTCTACAAGAGGGGGAGACGATCAACCACTCTTGGGCCGATCGAGTGGTCTTTGCTCCTGCTGCGGCCATGGCTCGGTCCAGCCTAAGACGGCAACTTGGCAAGTTGCCTTGCAGCCCAAATGCAAGCAGCGCCCCAATGTCCGCGGACTCAGCCTCGATGGTGTTCCGGTCTGATCAGGATCAAACTTGGTCTCACCGACTATCCCATTGAACCACATTTGCATCCCTTCTCACAGGACTCTTGCACAAGCACACCTGCATAGGTTGCACCGCCGACTTTGTGGTGAGGACGCCATGCACGACTTTTATTACGCCAAGTTGTTGGGCAATGAGTCGAAGTTTAAGCCTCGCCCGGGTCTACGATGCGTAGATGTATTGGATGCCGATGTGAAGAAACTCTTCAAAGCCAGATAGGCGCGCGGACTGACACCTTTCCAGGCTACCGGGCACCCGGTCGTACTCGAGCGAGAAATCACTGAGGATGAGATCCAAGACTGGATCGCCCAAGATAACACTCTGTTGTCTAAGAGCAGTCAAGATGGCAAACAGGGGAGAGGCTGCAGTCAACTCCGACTGCTCATCGGCAGCCCGGAGCAGCACTCAAGCGATGCAGAAATTCTACCGCTACCAATGTCCCGCGAGACATTCGAGACAATCAGAACCACGTGGAACATGCCCAAGGAGCTGTTACGCATGATGTTGAGTACCCTGCCGATTGCCACGCCAATTCAGACACTTAATGCGGTAGGACAACCCATCCATGGCCTGATGATGAGAAGCGCGAGATCAAGAGATTGGAACTTCTGTCTCGGGCTTGTCCACAATGCGGAGACCGGAATTGTTCATGCGATTGTCAACGGAATGCAAGGGGAAGAAATCGACCAGTTACTGACGTGCCTTCGAGAATCGCGCTCATGCCTGTCGGAGCCAATGTTGCTGCCTATTTTCCTGCTCGAGCTCAAAGTCCACTACTTCGCAGTCCTGCTTGAGAACCGAGCGGAAAGGATCGAAGGAATTGAGTTGGACACCGGAATGAAGCACGAATTCTCTCCAAATGCAAAACGCAAAGACGCCAGACATAGAGAAAGAGAGAAACTACTGAAGGAGCTTAATTTTGACGAGATCACTCAGAAATTGACAGGCGGGACAGGCACTTTGTCGTTCTGCGACATGACATTTGCCTCTAGCTTGAGAGCGTTGGAGCTTGTCTGCTCGGTCAAGGAACGAATTCGCTCTCTTCCAAATCGCCGGCCAGATAGAATCAACGCAACCAATACCAACGCCGTTGATACAAGGCTTGCATACCTTCGAGAGTTGATCGTTGGTGCCCAAGCGCACAGTGGAGTGTTGTCGGCACGAACGAAGGCTCAGGTTCAAACGGTGCGTATCATGTCGAATAGTAACTTACCGGGGAAGCCTCTGACGCCGCACCCAGGTCTACAGCATGATCGGTCAGAAGGACAACAAGCTCAACATCGAAACGGCAGCGGCGTCTCGAGAGATTGCTGAAATCAGTCTTCGCCACAACACTGCCATGAAAGACATGGCCGAAGACTCGCGAAACATTGCAATCCTCACCCGAAAAGACAGCACAGATATGCGTATTATCGCAGTCGTCACACTGTTATTTCTACCCGGGACTTTCATGGCGGCACTGTTCGATGCCGGTTTCTTCAACTTCTCGCCAGGAGACTCTGACCAGGTCGTTTCCAAGTGGATTTGGCTCTATATTGCCTTGACTGGTGCTGCCACTCTTGTCGTCTTTGGCGGCTGGTACCTGTTTTCACACAAACAGAATAAGAAGATAATGAGGGTGGTGAACGCGGATGCACGTTCTTCGTTGGGGAGCGATCGTGACGACCTTGAGTCTGGCGTCACAGCCTTGACAACACCGCCAGCCACAGCGCCATTGTGGACAGCACGCTCAATGTCAACCGGGGAGATGGAACTCGTCTCCTCTCTTGGACGCTCGGCAGATGCTCTCAAATAACCGCCTATCCGGTCTCTGTGGAATGCTCTTGCGGAGAGCCGCATATAGAAAACATATATGAAAGTATCTCAGGATAGAGCGCGGGCCGCCTGAGTACTGATGGTTGAGAAGCGTCTCAACATTCAGGGGAGCCTGACATTGGCACTGGCGGCGTTTCCCCGTTCTGGAGTATGAAATGGGCTATCATGAACGATGTGCAGTCTTCAATGCTTGTCTCACCGTCAGTCGGCTACTGAACCGTGTCGTGGGAGAAACGTGCAGTTGCGCCGCTTCGAGATGGCGCCCCATTCACAGCAGGCAGACTGCGCTCCGCTAACCTGGCTTCCGTATGCTTCATGATATGACGAGCTACCTTAGGCTATTGCGTTCAGATCTCTCCGGCTAAGATCGCCCAGGCCTGTAAGGCTGCGCCTACATCTGGGAGATCGATCGACTTGTGCTCTGTTTGACACCAAATCATACCACGGTAGAGCATGTTGAGTGCAAGTCGTTGCTCTGCTGGAAGTCGAGACCTCAAGGCAACACGCGATGGTCAGATGCAAAATCCTTAGAGAATCCGTGGATGGGATATTCCCCTCTGGACCAGGGTTGTGTCTGCTCTTTCAAACCACTGAGAGCTACCACATCAGAAGCATGATAGCAACGGCGACAACTATTGGACCGCCCGGGGCGGTAAATGCTCCGACTGATAAAGCTACGGTCCAAGCTCCAACCCAGCTTCAGATGGGCAAGTCCATCCTTTCCGTTTAATCCCATGAAAAGCGGGGGACCACAGGCATTCGACGACATCATGCCAAGGAGCTACGAGCTTCCCGGTCGTCCTCGTGCAACCTTCAGCTCCCAGCAGCTTCATCATTGGAGGGCAGGCTGCGCGCTCAGCAGAGAATATGCGGCCAAGGCCACGGCCTCGATTCATTTCAGGTGAACCGTCATCCCTCGCGGGGTTATGTTGCTTTGCTATATCGCATTTAACCTAGCAGACAAGGTCCTGCCTGCCTTGAGCGGCCAATCCATCCACGACTTGTCCGCAAGATGCAGGTACAGCAGACACGTTGTCCCAGACTGGGTGCGATTTGCTCGATGACTGAGCTCTAGCAGAATCGGGTGGGATTTGCGCAGCTAGCAGCACAGCTCTTCCCAAGCTTCCCGCGAAGGAAGCTCCCCAGAGCTCAGAGCTCCCAAAACCTTCTGGATCCGAGGACATGGCGCCTGTCGATTAATCCACGTGTGATCATGACGAAGGCCTGTCTTGCATCGGAAGGAACGCCAGCAATCCGTTTACCGGACTAAGGTAAGGATAGATGGTCAGCTACAAAAAGGTGCCGTGTCCCGCAACGCAACGTCCGTTCTCTCGTGCTTCTTCAGAGGTCGGGTGTAGCCATCGCAACTTCGGGACCTAGCTCAAGATTCGAAATCCAACATGCGTGCGACAACCAGCAGCGTAGCCCTATTGGCTTTGGCAGCCAACCTCGCTGCCGCAGTACCTGTCAAGAAGCCCCGTTGGCAACATCCAGTGCCCGATGACTACCTGGTCTCTCTCGGTCCCCGTCCTTACTACCTCGTGCAGAACATGACGGACAGCCCGCTCAAGCAGCAGCTCGAGGCCTGCTACAACAAACCGGTGGGGATCCACGCGTGGAGCATTGGCCATCGCGGCGGTGGCACCCTGCAAATCCCAGAAGAGACGCCGCAGTCCACCGAGGCTGGTGCACGAATGGGTGCCGGTGTCCTCGAATGCGACGTCGCCTTCACGTCGGATCTCGAGCTTGTGTGCAGGCACGACATCTGCGACCTGCACACGACGACCGACATCCTACTCCGACCCGAATTGGCAGCGAAGGTGAGTTCAGTCCCGTTCAGGAGAGCCATGAGTGTCCCCGGGAGCATCGGGCCAAGATGGTCAAGCCCGCTGACACTGTCTTGCGAGAAATATAGTGCCGAGTCCCTTTCACCCCGGCCAACGCCACAGCGCCAGCGAACGCTCTCTGCTGTACCGCCGACATCACCTTGGCCGAGTACGGAACTCTGTGCAGCAAGATGGACGGCTTCAACCAATCCGCCACCACGGTCGAAGACTACCAGCACGGCACCCCCTCGTTCCGAACCGACCTATACAACACCTGCGGACAAGTCATGACGCTCGAGAGCTGGATCGACCTCGTGGACTCCCTGCCGGGATACCGCAACTTCACGCCCGAGCTGAAGACGCCCCCCAGCGCAGTGCCCATGCCGTTCAAGGGCTACACGCAGGCCCAGTACGCCCGGGACATGATCAACACGTTCGTGAAGAAGGGCATCGCCGCCGAGCGCGTGTGGCCGCAGTCCTTCAACCCGGCCGACATCTTCCTCTGGCTGAACGAATTCCCGCAGTGGGGCGCCCAGGCCGTCTACCTGGACGAGGACGCCGACGTCGCGTCCAACTACACCGCCGCGGTGGCCAAGTTGCCGGGCCTCAAGGCTGCGGGCGTCAACATCGTCGCCCCGCCGTACAACTATCTCCTCTCCATCGGCGGGCCCAACAACGACACGATCGTGCCGTCCCCGTACGCCATGGCCGCCAAGGAAGCCGGCCTGGACATCATCGCTTGGTCCTTTGAGCGCTCGGGTCCGCTGGACCTCGTGCTCGAAAACGGCGACTACTACTGGTCGTCGGTCGCGCCGATCGTGTCGTACGACGGGCAAGTGTACGAAGCCCTGGACGTGCTGGGCCGCGAAATCGGCATCGTCGGCATGTTTTCCGACTGGTCCGCCACCGTCAGCTACTATGCCAACTGCTTCGATCTGGCGGGCCCGCAAGGCGGTTCGTACTATTGAGGACGTGCGTGCAAGCCTGGACCTAATCGGAGAGGAGAGGAGAAGAAAGAGTCAAAGGCGCGAGGACAATGAGGAGCACGACGACGTTTAATGAAGCTGACGCGATCGACGCGTCCAAGTAATCTACACATTCATACATCTATCTAGCTATGAATCAATCAATTGTATATAGTCGCATATAGAAGAGAGCGCCAAAACCAAACCATCGACACCGAGTTGGAGTCGACCATGACAAGCTACATAGCTGCTTGGTATGATATCCCTCTCTGTCTGTCTCTGTCTCCCCACATTCCGATCTCCTACTGTTCGGTACTTGGTATTCGAGTTGCATCCATAACGGCGCCCAATGCACCCAAAACACCAATGAGCGTAATGATTATGTACCCACTATATACCCCATACTGTGTCTCACCTCCACTGCCACACACTGCCGGGCTGGCCGAGATGTCAAGCAAATGTACTGTGTACGGCACGCACGGGTACCGTAACTCGAAGCCATTGGTCAATATGTAGCTCGTCCGAGGAGAGGTAAGGTATAATTGAAAGGTTCACGCGAGTGGCATCTTACCCATGTACTCCGTACTCGCACGAGATCAAGTTAACTAGGTACCTACCTAGTACACACCTATGCGTCAAAAGATTCTCGCACACCAACATCGCCATTTTAGTACGGAGTACTCGTACTCCGTATAGGAATTGAGGATCTTCTCAACTTTCCTTACTATGGAGAACTCGACAACCGAGGTATTCGGAATTACTCAAAAACAGAATCTAGATACCAAAAATTGACTGCCCTATTAAGATGTATAAGATGCATAAAACGGCAAATAGTAATTATATACATACATTAATACGTAAATTATTGCAGGAAGTCGTGATAACAAACGGTTTACGGAGTACCTCTGGCTGTAAAATGGTGGGTGCAATGCGGTGTCGTGCGAGAACTTTTGACAGGCACCTAACAGGGGACTGTACGATGGATTCGAAGAGATTCCCTGGCATGCCTGGGTCGTTTACTTACCGTTCTGCTTTGGAAGATGGGCGACCTGCTGGGTTCCTGCGGGCTCGAGCTGATCCTGACCCTGATTGTGGTCCTGGTCGTGCTGTACGGTACTCTTTTTGTGGGCAGTCTCGAATCGTCCTCGTCTCATTCTCGGCTTTTGGACCCTTGGCTTCCTAGAATGTCCGATGAATTGCATGCATACACCACGGCGGACCTTACAACAGATGTACTCGCTGGATGCGAATTGACCGGGGTGAAATACCAAAGTCAAGGACAGTAATTACAGCCTCGGCCACGACTTCATGAATCCTTTTCTTTGTGACTGCCATTTGCCTCCTACTTCTCGGGCCCTACGCTTCGAAATGCTAGACATGTCTGCATATACGTGAGTGTCCGCGTATGCCTGTGCTCGTGGCTGCATATATCCGCCCGACTCGAAGAAATCATGGCCCTGGATAATGGAAGGAAGGTCGAAGGGACACGATCAGGAAGCGCGTTCGAACCGCGGCGATGCTCTGTCACTTGTCACCTTGGGACATCACGACTTGCATGCGTCTGATTCCACTCTCTCAACCACGCCTGCACCGCTTGCAACTCCCTGTTCTGCGCATCCTCGACTGCCGCCGGTACCTCGATGGTCTCATTCTTAAATACGCCTGAGAAATCCCACAAATGAAACGCCCCCTCGATGACGATCTGCGGTTCGCTGACCGTCCCGTTGCTTTTTAACCTGGGATTCGGCGTCCCGTCCTCGAGAAACTCGGCCAGCGGACCTACGGTACGGAACCAATCTAGTTGGCCGGTCGAGATGGCCAGACGGGGATAGCTCAGGTTGAAGCCGCCGTACTTGTTCAGGCGCTCCAGTACGGGATCGTAGCTGATGTTGTACGTCCTGTGACACCGATCCAGGAAATACGCCGGCGTTAGTGTGCGAGAGACGAGGGGTAAGGCGTGCGGATGCCCCGGTGTGCCTGGAGTATAGCCTGTATTAAACTGGCCCATTTCGGTGCAGACGAGCCAGTTGAAAGGGGACGCATGGCCCAGGGCGAGGCAGTCTGCTACGGTGCGTTCGGCGCAGAAAGTATAGGTGCTGCGGAAATAGGAGAAGAGGTTGAGAAGCGGGCGGTAGAGTGATGTTGCGTTGGGCGTTGCTGTCTCGTTGGCGTAGGAGAGGAGGGATTGCGCTGTCGATTGCAGGGAGGGGCCGGCCGAGGAGGGCGAGGTTTGTGAAGTCAGCATGCTGCAGTAGGAGCCCGGGCCTGTAAGATAATTTCCGGTCAGTCCGATCACAAGTTGAATACTCCTCCTTGAGCGACAGGGCGCCTACCGTTGAATGGAAATGGTTCGGTATCCCAACTTTGTTGCCAATCCCCCAGTGCCCCCCCCAAGAGGAATGCAATATCGGGATAAGTCGATGCCTGTGAAACATTGAAGGCAGTCTTCAACTCGGACATAGCTGTCTTGTTACCGCTGGTATAGACGTTGTCCATCAGATTGGTCAGTTGTTGGATTGTTTCAACACAGTTTGCAGGTCCGTGTCGCCGTACCACGTCCAAGCGCCGCCAGTCATCGATCAGCCCGGTGGTCACTCCGGAGGAGGTCAGCCCGCCCCAGAAGAGATCCGGGTATTGGATGCGCGTAAAGGCAGATATGAGGCCAGCGTACGAGCCGCCGAGTACGATCCAAGGAGTGCCAGGCGCGGTGAGGTCCCTGTCTTCCAACCCCACGAATGTCGCCCGCTGGGCGAAGTAGGCAAGGTCTGCCATCGCCTGCTCGGTGCTGTGGAAGCGGAGGTTCTCGGTCGTGTACGGCGGGTTGGGGACGATGTCGAAGCCGCCACTGTAATATCTGGACATCACATCAGACACGTGTGATCAAACGACGAGACGGGACGACCTGAGTCTTGTACCTCTGACCCCACAGCACCGCAACTCCCCCCGTCGCATTGGCGATCTTGTGTAAAAGTCCCTTCTGCAGCCACACGAGATCGACGCTGGGACTGTCTTCGCCCATGGCGTGTACTATCACCGGCCCTCCTGGGGCGTAGTTGCTCGTGTCGACCCAGTAGAGCTGCTGGAAAGTGGCATTCGTGTGCGGGGCGTAGCGGGAGATGTTGTGGAAGTGGTCGATCGGCATGGTGAAGTTTTGCTGTCTGCTCCCGCGTCAATCTCATCCTGCGCGCTTCGTCGACAGCGATCGTGATCAGCCGAAGAACTTACGGATATCTGGCGAGGAGATCGCCTCCTTGCGACTGCCGTTTGGCAAGGAATGGCACGTCCTCGAATGCCCTGCTCAGCCGTCAGATATCAATCTAGGACACCTGTCGAGAACTTACCATGCTGTTCCAGCCGTCAGGAGAAGGGTAAGCAACGCTAACTGGGCAGCCATGTTGCCGATGTCCAGAACAATCGGCTCATCCGTTCTCGTTCTCACAAGGCGCCGCTCCTGGCATTGTTATACGTCGTCCTCTTTTCCCAGGGTGTCCATCGTCTGGACGATGAACGCGTGTCATGTTGCTGCGCCTTTGGGGCCGATGTGTACGCGTGGTCGCCTAACAAAAGTGTAATGCGGGCAGGAAACTGGTTATAGTCAAGATGGACTCGATCGGTTAACGACATAGTACCTACTTAGGTATTGTACTCAATACCCAGGAAGCCATGACGGAGCAAATGTTTCAGCTGACGCGTTGATCATGCAGAGATCGACATCTTCTCACGATGCATTCAGAAAGGAACGTAATGAGTTCTTGGCGGAAGGAATGCATTTGCTTACGCGGTATCCCACAGTCTGCTTGAACAAGGCGAGGAGAACAAGTGCTGCGTACCTGCAAATACTGCGGACTGCGGACTGTGCTGAGTGTCCATCCGGAAAATCGGCATTGGTCAAGCAATCTTGGCACGAGCCGCTTTAGAGCTTCCCCAAATTTACTGCAGGATTGACCATGAGGTACGGCCTACGAGTACCTGCACAGGCACCTTCTGCCAACTGCATAGGCACGTAACAGGTAAACTGCACACGCTAAACCCAGTCGCGGGTGCCGCCCAACTCGGCCCAGGCACGCCCAGACGACGGGTACGAGTACCTGGGTGAGGGCGTACTGGGTACTCCGTACATTCGGACCAATTACTTAGCCATATCCCCTTTCCACTTCCATACTAACGCCTTCATCTTGGATTTCCCCATACGGAGTAGGGAGTAATTAGTTTTCTTCGGTTTCCAGCTTCCCCAGAACAGACCTCGGCGCCGCGGCGAATGGCGCTGAACGAGAACCGGCACGGGTGCGTCAACGACCACAACCGTCGAGATTTCGACATCCTCGAGCGGCACGGCCACCACGTGAATCGACGGCCCAAACTCCAAGGAGGTGAAAGCGACGTCGGGGCGCTCATGTCAACTCTGCGAACCCTTTGCCCCCAATGTACGCGTCCCCTGATGGTTCCGGAGCAGCCTTCCTCTTTGCCGAAGAGATCTCCTTGTCACCTCTGGAGCGGTCTCCCGCTCTATGACTGAAATATCTCGCATAGCCACAGGGCGTCTGTCTGTGGATATACCTGCGGGAATCCAAGGACAAGAGCCCCAACGGTGCACCCTGCCCATGCAGACTCGGCGTCAACCATGATCAGATGTACTCCGCTTGCGATCTTGCGCCCGGTAATTTTTGGCCATCATGATGTGACGACTCCATCTCTGACACGGCTCCATTCCTATCGACGTGTGCTCGTACAATCGTTGGTTGAACTTTGCGGCGTCCATGTTAAAATCATCGCCAGGCCCCGACGCCTTGCAGCGGACCAGAACAAAGTTCAGTCGGCCTTGCGTGGAGCGTCCAAGCACCTTTTGAAATGATAGATCGCCCTCGTGTCATCCTTGCTGGTGTTGCGTGCGAGTCAGATAAAGTCAAGGTCCAGGTTTTCGGCCGTATACATTGACACTGGTGTCGATAGTCAGTACTGGGGAGGCAGAACAACGCGATATCGAGTACCCACAATTTAACATATGTGTGAATATTCCGGTCGAGGATCTCCCGTCGTGTGTGGGCGAGCATGACCGCAAGTTGAGCACGATCCATGCCCAGGAGAGCGGTCGCCCCTCTCTCGAACCCAGCCTGAGCATATTGGAAGAAGTTCTGCATCTCGAGCTTCCCGATGGTCTTCATACGCCGGTCCTTCGGCCAATCATTCGTGGGCATCTTGAATACGGTCTCGTGGACGTCTTCGAAGCCCCTTGCCAGGAGTTGATCCTTCCACAGCCGGGAGGCATTACCATCCAGACCCATCGCTTCTGCGATTTGGAAAAATATCTTGCCCAATTCGGCGTATTGGGAGTCCGGAGGACAGGTCCCATCATCACAGCCGACTTCAGGGACTGTGACGGCAAGTTCGAAATATCCGCCAGGTCGAAGATGGTCGTATGCTTGGGAGATGAGCGCGGGCCAATCTCGAATGGCGAAGAGGAATTCTCTGGCATGGATCAAATCGAACGAGTTTCGGCGGAACTCCCAGCTGGTCTCTACGTCTAGAATCTCGAACTGGCAATTAGGAGACACCCAGCTGGGTTGCACCGCTGCAATGTCGACGCCAATCACCCGTGCCGAGGGGTAGAGATCGGCGGCCTCAATGGCCCAGATTCCGCTGCCGGTGCCCAGGTCCAGGATGTTCTGCGGCTGCGGATCGATCGGAGCGAGGTGAAGCCGTCCCTCATACATCAAGAAGAACTTGTAGTGCTGAAGGTCATTGCGGTCCTGTTCCGCGTCGTCAATGGGGAGGCCATAGAAGTGTTTTCCGTATGACGCCCAACGGCGACCATACTCCTCGATCCCGTTACGGATCTCCGATGCTATACTGTGCTCCCGGTCAGAAATCAGTTTCCCCTGCAGCTGTGTCCGTACCTTGTCACATAGCTCGTACCCGCCGAGTTAGTGTCGTAGCCCTCGTCGTCCACGGCGATGTTATCATCTGGCTCCATGTGCGGTGAAGGACGCACTGATCTGTGACTCAAGTGTCAATGTCGCGTGCCAAAGACCGGAGGGGAAGAAACATGGAGGTTTTGAAAAGACGGAATAAGCCATCAGGGAGGGGCTGCAAGACGCCTTTTACACGCCGGGTTGAGGGAAGGCAGGGGCAAAGCTTCCGCCTTTGGATCTTCCGTGCGCTGGCTTGCTGGATACGAGGTACAGTACTCGTAGGTGCTCGGGAGGCACTGCTACCAGTACTGGATACAACGCTGGTCGGCGGTGGCCGGAAACTTCAGCCTGGCACGCCTGGCTTGCGTTGGGGCGCCCCAGGCGCGTCTGCCACGTGCGGTCTGGCACCTAGCCTAGCTGCAGTGGCTGCCTAGGGGCTCGCATAACCACATCCCGGGCCCACTAGTTCAATCCCAGGCATGAACCCCGCCTAGATCAACGCCAGCAGGCCAGCCTAAGCAAACCCCGCCTTTAAGCTCGTGAATCATCGAGTCTTCTGCTGTCCCGTTGCGTCCACATGCTCCAGAACCTAAGCGAGGCGTTCTAGCACCTTTTTGAGCCGGAAGAACGACAAGCTGTCCTGTGTCCGGACTCCCCAGGGCCATTTGTCGGCTCATCAGAACGACCCTCTGTGACTGATGAGGCCACATGGCGGCTGGCCACCTCCTGCTTGACTTGGGGGTGTTGATGAGCAATCCTTGGTCCAGCTCCCACTCCCGCTCCCGCTCCCAACCTTGTCACTGCAGGTACGATTGACGATATTTCCCGGTGTAGAGTTCAAGCTATAGTAAGGAGCGTGCCTGTGTCTGTGCACAACGTCACCCCTCGAGAATGTCGTCGCCGGAACAAGATGAGGCAACCCAGCTTCAAGGGCTGATACAACAGCTCACCGACGCCGCAAAAGCGTGTGACTACTCGCCCGGGGCACAAGGCTACGTTGCGAGAACCAATGTCGCCGGCATTGCAAAAGACATCGTCCGCCTGATGATGGCCCCGAGTGATATGTCCATGCACCACTCGGTCAATGTATGTATGTCCCTCTTTCTCGGGCGAGACGACGAGGAAACAAGCATCCCCCACTGATACGAGGCCAGATGTTGGAGATAGTGAGTATACGGACGCTGATGGGCCTGGGGGTGTTTGAGAAAATCCCAGTCGACGGCTCCATCTCTCTGGCCGAGCTGTCCAAAGCCACGGGCGTGCAAGACTCGCTGCTCGAACGACAACTGCGCATCCTCGTCGGCACCAAATTCATCGACCAGACCCCAAGCTACGAGTACGTGCACACGAAGTTCTCGAGAGCATACGTCCAAGTCCCGGGGCCGGGGAACTTCTTCCAGTTCATGAACGACGAATGCCTCAGCACCCTCGTCCATCTGCACAGCTACGTGAAGGACCGCGCGCGCGAGGACCACAAACCCGTGCAAGAACCCGACGACCCACTCCACAACCCGTACACGCGCCGCCACGGCATGGACGGGCACCCCGTGTGGGAAATCATGGCGCAGTTTCCCGACCGGCTGCGCGCCTTCCAACTGGGGTTCATGTCCCAAGAGGACTCGGTCCCCATCATCGGCTTCTACGACTTCTCCGCGCTGTTCAACCCGGACACGGACGGCGACCGGGCTACCCTCGTCGACGTAGGCGGCGGCCAGGGCCAATCGATCCTCCAAATCCTCAAGTCCTTCCCCAGCTTGCAAGCCGACAGGATGGTGCTGCAGGACCTGCCCGAACCGATCGCCCAGGGCAAGGAATCCAAGCTCCTGCCCGAGGGCGTGAAAGCCATGGTCCACGACTTCTGGACCCCTCAGCCCGTCAAGGGCGCCAAGGCCTATTTCCTCCGCCGCATCATCCACGACTACTCGGACGAGAACTGTGTCAAGATCCTCTCGCACCTGCGCGCCGCCATGGCTCCTGACTCAAAAGTCCTGATCGCCGACATGGTCATGCCCAAGCGCGTGTCTGAGGCCGACCTCCCCGCCGCGGCCATGGACAATTGTGTCATGGTGATGGGTGGGAAGGAGCGCACCGCCGACGGCATGAAGAAGATCCTGGACGAGGCCGGATTGAAGATGCTCAAGATCTGGCAGAGTCGCGAGGGCGGTGCGACGGGGAATATTGTCGAAGCCGTGTTGCCTTCACCTGGAGAATAGATAGGATATACTATCCTACCGCCGATATTGGCTTGAACACAACTGCTGAATACATAGCTACTGAGCGTATTTATGTCGACGTTGAGCTACGAGATTATTGGGCGCGCCACTACGAACCTGATCTCCAGACATTGCATACGTCAAGTTCTGGTGGAAGTGCGTGCCTCGGATTTGTATGCTTCTGTGATCCGTAGGCATTGTGGCCTCGTCTGATTCAAGCAAACGACATCATAGCACTACCTACATGACTTGTGCTCAGCGAATGTATTGCCGCCTGGGCAGCTAGTCCTCTAAACGCCAGGTAAACGTAGAAACACCCAGCGCTATGCTATTGCGTATAGTACATTTGAGAGACCCATCTCATTTCTTGCTCGCCTTGCTCGGCTTCTTGCGAGCGCCTCCCTCCCCACTACCGGCGGCTGCGGCGGCCGTGGCACTCGTCTTCAGTTTGAGCTTGATCTGTGGCTCGGAGCTCGCGTCCCTCATCGACTTGGTGGGCGTCACTTGTATTGTGTCTCCGGTCGCGTCCTTGGGGTTGGGACTGCCTTCATCGCCAATGTTATTGACTTCTTTCAGTTTGCTCGGCGGGGCCTTCTTGTCCGTCTTCTTGACGTCTCCGGCAGCCGTCTTCTGCTTCTTGTTTTTGCTGGGACCACTACCGACACTCTTCTCATCGTCCTCGGCTTTGCGCTTAACGCCGCCGTTGGTGGCCGGTTTGGGTGAGTTTGCCCGGCTGTCGCGAGGAGTACCGCCGATCTTTGCATTTGCCTCACGACCGGCAGCTCGGTCTTTCTTAAGGAAGCAACTGCCATTCAAGTGTGTAGCGAAAACGTTGACGGATTTCCAATGGTCACCAAGATGAGATTCCCGGTTGGGGCATTTGGCCGCAGGATAGTCAATCTCTTTGAACTCAAATGAGTCGGCAGGCATGGAGGACGAGGGAGTCAACGGATCAGAGTTTTCCGAAGCCGCAGGAGAGCCCGGGTCGTCCTTCTTTTTCTTCTTATTCTTAGGCTGGCCTTTTACTTTGACACCCTTCTTGCGTTGACCGTGGACATCATGCTTGTCGACGATAATCATTGGCTCAGTCTTGCAGTATTGTTCGGTGGGATCTGGAACAGGGCGGGAATTGTAGCCGACCCTAGGGTATAATAGACGCCGCAGCCGACAGTTGGGGCATCTGATGTGCTTTACTGTCTTCATTGGGTTGCCTTTCAGTTGAATCTGACCGGACTTTAAGATAGCAGCACTTGTCTCAACGGCTTGGTCTGCGGTATTGTGTTCAGCTTCGCTGTCTGGCTTGCTGCGGAGTTTTTCAGCTTTCTGCTCGAGTTCGACGACGGCTGTCTGCATTCGAGCGATCTTCTCTTCTTGATGGATTTCCAGGAGGATATCGTGTAGTATGCTCTCGACGGACTGTTCGAAGAGGTACACCATCTGAGAGAAGTTAGTCGGGGAAGCATCGACCACTTGTCAACCCAACTAACCGCTTGTTCTTGATCAGAAGCTGTCAAGGTGACATTAGGGGACTTGGAACTGGACGCTTTCGCCGAAGCCATGGCGAGAGACTCGTTGGCTGGGGGCAGACAGTCAGCTGTGATCTTCCCATCTTCCATGAAGCGCTTCCACAGGTCCGGGTCGACGGCGCCATATCGGGGCAAAAAGATATTTGATATTTCAGGAGCCATTCCTGCACCCGAGACGAAGAAGGTGAAATGAAAGCCACCAGCAGCTATGGAGAGGCGTAAAGAGTTGTATGGGGAGAGTGTGCCATTGCCTTTGCCCTATGGTGCCCACGCTTGCAGGGAAATGGATCGAAGCACAACGAGGCCCAAGTACACAATACAGTCTGGGCTATTGAAGCCCGTAGGACGTGCAGTCAATGGGAAATCCATGGTGCTGCGTCCTATTGTCCGGCAGTATCTTCACTTACCGATCTTGAGATGTGTATGGTAAACTCCCGCGTGGTGCCCCGGGGCTATTCAAACGCCTTCACTCCCTGACGCACCCGACCGTCCTCTACTCATTCAATAGCATGCATGAAGTCTTGAATGTTCTTGTAGTGCCGGCTCAGGGTCGACCGGGGTGTTTACGCCTGCCCGACGTGCAGAGGTGTGTGCACAGTGAAGGGAAAAGGACTCGGACTAGCTCGTCAAGGCTCGTGACGACAAGGAGTTGACCTCGTGCCGAAAGGGCGAGAGATGGACGTAGTATATGACTTTGAGGTGTGCCCTGTAGCTTAACCAAGACGGCTAACACATAAAGATTTGCATATATTTTCGGCGCATGTGTGCGGATGTCAAGTGGGTGCGGCGAGGCAGGACGCAGAAAGAAAAAGGCCGGTCCGGGGGGGACGCTTAGGGCTCGCTAAGGTTCGCGATTAAGCATCGATAACCTTGTTCTAGTGCCGGAAGCAACCGTGTCGATCGCGTCTCCTTTGCTGCGGGCGCGTCGTCTTCTGTCCTTGCATGAAACAATTAATCGCCCGAACCATTGGCATCCGCTGGGCGGATATGGTTGAATCAGCTGCACGATGCCTCAATCCAGCCTCCTATCTTATTTCACCAAACCGATGACAGCAGTGGCGCCCATACAGACGGACTCGGGGCGAAACGGTCGAGTTAAGAATCATCAAACTCAGACCGAGCACGTCGCAGCTGCCGGCTCTTCATTGAGCCGTGGACATGGCGTTGTTGATGTACCGCAGAACGAGCGCGGCCAGAGCTCGATCCTTCAGGCGGAACGCACATCAAGGAACTCGCAACAAAAGGTCCAAGCCCCGACTCCAGTGACATGCGAAGGGAAACTCGAGGACTTATCTCCAACAACGGCAGCTGCTTTGAAACCCCAACAACACTCGTTGGAAATTATACAAGTTCCTCACGTCCCAGGAGCTGCGGTTTCTCCCGTCTCGGAAGTCCACCTGCAGGCGATACGACGTCTCACGGCTACGACTCTGCCCGTTCGGTACAGCGATGCATTCTTCAGCACAACGGTGACCGACCCAGTTGTGCAGCAGTTATCTCGCGTTGCTCTGTACGAGTTAGAGCCCATTGGTTGGATCCGATGTCGCCTAGAGCCATGTTCTGGGAATGGTGCCTTCTCTATAAAGACGAATGCGCCGTTATCGCAGATCTACATTCAAGCATTGGCCCTCCTTTCGCCTTACCGAAACCTAGGCATGGCAACATTACTTCTGAACGAGGTACTGTGTTCGGCAAAGTCGCTGGTGGAGGATCCGGTCTGTATTTACGCCCATGTCTGGGAGAAGAACGAAGATGCGCTGGACTGGTATGCCAAGCGCGGGTTTAAACGCGTCATGCTCGTTGAGCGCTACTACACGAGATTGAGACCAAGTGGTGCGTGGATTGTCAGAAGGGAGCTTGGCGATACATGAAACCCTGTGGTGGACCATGGTATTGTTCCCAGGATATGACTTGGACTATACGACGCAGGACCCATCCACCTATCTGCAAGCGGCAGTGGCCCTGGTTTGCGGGATCCAGAGCGAGACGAGGCATGATCCAAAGTTCCTTAGTGAAGCTTGATTTCACCCAGCCGCAGCATCGACAGGACTCGATTGAGCTTTGGTAATAATCTTACGGACAAACACAAGTGCACGAAGACATGCCGATTGCGGGCCCTGAGAGCAAACGTCTTTCGAGACCATCACCAGACGGTCGGAACGTTATGAGCTCGAAAGACTGTGGTCTGCATGGTGTTCCCTTTACAGAACAGGGGCATTTGGATAAAAGCTGGCCCGCCAACAGAACGGATAAAGCAGAACTGGAGTGCGATTAGAGGGATGCGTTCGTGGCAGACGAGCTAACAATGTGCTCAAGATTGGCCGGTCGGAGGTCTGTTAGTGATACTTTTAGGAATGGAATGCGAGAAAAGTATACAGAGGCTGGTAGCCGTTCTCTCAATGCTGGATTTTCCGTTCCTTTCCGCCTTCCCAATGGGTATGTACATCGCGCTCTCTGCCTCGGGGACAAGATAAACAACGCGCTCGGGTATATGGTCGAGCAATCAGAGCACCGAGGAAACGTAATTCTCTTCCAGTTTCCGCACCTCTCGCTTGAAGATCTCGACCTCCTTCCAACAGTCGAGGGGCTTCCGGTCGTTTAATCGTAGACAAGAGATAACGTCTTGTCTCCTAATGCCGTATGTTAGCTCTGAATCGCGCATGCCCCCCAAGGTCGTCACGCACGCATTCTCCACTTCCTTTGGTAGCTCCTTCAAGGTCTTCCGCTGTCCCAGCTGTTGCTTGAGTTTTTCAATCTCTTGTTGTACCTTCTGACTTGATTGAGCTTTGCGCTTCTGTTCCTCATCGTTTTGGGCGCCTGGGATCAAATCTTTGGGTGATATCGAGCTTGAGTCTGACGGTGATTCCTCTGCGATTTTCTTTCGGATAGCCTCGAGGGCTTCAGACTCGTGCTTTTTGATCTTTTCCAGCTCTTCTGCTACGCGCTGCTGGATATGTAGCTCTAATGTCTTTGCGCGAGTGGAGTTCGTCTGTGGTAGAGCAGGTCGTAAGCATGAGCTCTTCCGAGCATGCGGAGGGTGAACTTAGCGTACTTCTGAAGATGCTTGCAGGGAGTCAATCAGCCTGCGAAGAGGTCAGCAAGCTTCCGTTTCAGACAACATACAGTTCAGTTGCTGAGCTCCATGCACGGCAAGCACCAGACTTACTCCTGGGAGAACTGAATAGGTGTATCGCTGGCGAAAACATGCTTGGTCGACAGGTCAGGTTTCGATTGTCCTGCGCCCATCTTTGCGGCAACTCCGGCGGTTCTAGATCGAGATTGTAATTCTAGCTGATCATGACATACCCTTACGCGAGTAAACGGCTGGGTAGAGGTCTGTAGGCTATGAAGTATACCTTGCTGTTGCTCCTCGAACGCGAAAGCTCCGATTGCGTAGGGCGGCGGAAAATAATTGCTTGGCACCGCTTGAAGTTCACGTGCTCCATACGGGGAGGGTGCCCTAAACTCCCTCCTTCACGCACACCTCGCTCACCCTCATACGAGTATCCTGTCCGCCGCGCCTGATCAAGATCCAACCTGCTACGGCGGCAGCATCTCATGGGCAAATGGGAGTGCTACAAGTCAGCATTCTTCCACTGGATTAACTCGTTTGGTTAAGAGGCCATATCTCCGTTCGACTTTCGCGAATATTCGTAGCTTCGACGAGTACCATTGTAAATCAGGAGGAATGGGTTTCACCAATCCCACCGCTCCGGGAGTGAAAGGGGATGCATGGGCTGAAAAAAACGACGAGCACGACGATGGCACCGAACGCCAATGAATTTAGTCCGTAGACTTGAGGATGGCGCCACGGCTGTTTCCCTCATTTGTCTCCTTTTGATTTTGCTCTTCATTGGCAAGGGGTTCTGGTGGCCATGCACATCAGGCTCGACTGTGCTTTGTGACCCGTGCGCGGAGTCTCCGATTATCGAGATCCTGTTGCAGGCCTTGGGCAGTATGGTTGACTTCGAGACCTGGCTGAGAACTCATTTCTCAAACTCTTCGGCAGCTGGTGTTGGAGTTTGCAACAACACCGACATCACAAAAAGCAAATGTGCCATCCGATGCAAAGACATGATAAAGAAACAGAGGGCATCGGAGGGAGGTAGACATGACAGGGCTCCATTGCAGTAGAACCTTGTGCGTACGGCTTCTCGCCAGAAGAGTGCCAGGTATATTCAACCTACCAGTTTCAGAGGATAGTGACAGGGACCCCTTGATGTTCTTCCTGCGCACCTGTGCCGTGGGTGGTATCTAGAATAACCAAGCTTAAGTGCCCAACTCTTTAGCGCCGATGTACTCCGTATAGGTAGCGAAACACAGGTGATTTCTCAGGATTGGGGAACGGGCACAGGCTGCATCTGGGTGGCATCTCTCTTGTCCCTTTCCGGAGTATGTAACCAAGAGAGCTGTGCGCCGCATCCCCTTGCCCTTGGCAGGTACAAGCCAGAAGGGGAAGGAATAGACGAGATTTAGGCGAGAGAAATGTGCAAGATGAGGCGAGTCATAGTCAATCACTCCAACTTTAGTTAAATTCCATTTCTATCCTCATTCATAGGTACTTCATGATCCTGAACATGAAAGCTAGAATCGAGCAGACAACGGGTGAGGAGTATATCTGAGTTGTGCTTCGCCGCAAGCATCTCGACAAACATTCTCACCCTGAGATTGTTGGCCAAGTGTCGAAAACGCAATGTGCCGCCCATACAAATCGCACTGCAGACATGACCAGGGACTACCTCCAAATAACCAAAAACAGTGTCAGAAGGTCCACAAACAAAAATGAATATGAATACTGGGGACTCCAAGGATACAGTACAACGACAGTCCTGACATAGCTAGTAGCCAGAGCTGTCGTTGTGTTGTTTCCATAGCGGCCCCATATTCAGGTGACAATCCTCGTGGATGAAATATGTAAAGCGACACCCACTGACTCTGGGATTAGTGTCACGGCGCTGGGTCCCCTAGCCCACATTCTCCTGCATTCAAGTCCCAGCGTCGTCGACAAAAATACAGGGTTTTCGCCACCAAACACAACTAGGTCCAAGCTACTGCCACCTGTGGCGGGCAATGAATTGGCGAAGATGATCCTCTTCTTGATGCCTGGGGTAATTAGGTTGTGATCAATCGCTGCTCAACAAGAAGGAGAATAGGCGAAATGCCAAAAATGGGGGCAACTGGTGATGTGATCCTAGTATCGGCGACACTGAGGATCTCATCACCAGTTGTGGTATAAAATCACGCACGTCCGGAATATGAAGCATCAGATCACCCCGTTTCTGGAAAAGCGGAGACAGGGAGGTGAATTCTTTGGCCTAGCTTCTCGCTGAAGCCACGACTACTCCGTGGACACGGAGCGATCATCTTTCTTGTGCTCTAACACAAGATGCGTGAAATCTTCTGCTGCCGGATACTGGGCCGTGGCAACTTAAGTACGGACCACATCCACACCTCGAAAAGCAATAAAACCACGAATTGCACAACAGAGACACGCAGTCGTGATTGTAGTCATGTCCGCTACGACAATTGATCGGTAGAGTCTGACACAGGCAAAAAACTGGGCAAAGCGTGCAGCTCTGTGAGTCGGTGACTGACTGCAACAGTGGTGGACTACCTGGAAGATACCATGCTGACGACGAGAACCGAGCTCCGCTTGCTGGGGGAACAAGCAGAGTAGATATCACGACATACAATGAATCGATGATCTGCAGCTGGATCAGCCTCATCCCTGACAGACATTGTTCTCCTGCTGTCCCCCAACGCTCCATCTTCCCAAGGCATCATTGACCTCACCATCACGACGCGAATGAGTGAATGCAAACTTCTCATGGCAACCTATTGCAGGCCAGTGGCTTCATTGAGATTAATGCAATCTCGGAAAAGCTCGTAAAGTACAGTACAACAATGCGTGTCCACGGTGTTAGACAATCCAAGGCTTTTGTGCAAGTGAATGTACAGTAGAACATTTGAAAGTAAGACAAGTCTCACCTCCCTTCAAAGTCTCCAAGCATGCCGCATGATAATCAAGTTTGACACAGAATGTCCAAGAATCCAATGGTCGTCGTCCCATCACAATCCCGCTTCTTTCATGCTTCTCTCAATGCCTTTCTTGCGCTGCGCATCCACGACGAGCATGTCACGCTCCTTGAGGAGTGTCTCAAGCGTGTCGACAACTCTGTAAAAACTGCTGGCCGCTCCCTTTTCTTGGGTGAATTTCATGATGCTCAAGTTTGCCTTTCGGCCATGTTCAAGAACGGAATACAGAAATGCATGGAAGTGGACGGGTTTTAGCTTGAGGTCTGTTCAGATATTAGCTTGTGCTGCGGTAGGAAACGGACAGGGCCACTCACAGTTTGATGCATCAACACGGCCACGTACGAGGTCAGTGCCACTCCGTCTCTCGGACACCACGTCTCTTAACCCAAATTTCCGCCATTCCTTCAGGATTCGGACGAGCTCTTTCTTCGCCTTGGCTTTGCTGATGACAAGGCACATTACTCGCGTCGCGGGTTTGATGTGGAAAAACTTGGCAAACCAGTTCTGGTTGACCTCAATGGGGCCGACGGCAGCCGCAGCCGCAGCTGCATCAACGCTCGTGGCCGGAGGGTAGCTCGTGCGAGTGACTGCCTTCGTCTCTGCACTGGGGTCGTGATTGGATTCTGTCCCCTCGGATAGGTCTCGCACAATGCGATGGTCACCTGTAGTTGCTAGATCACCGTCCTTGGACCGCGATGACTTGGCAAACATTTTCTGAAACCATTTTCTCTTCTTCTCCATATGCAATTCAATGTCCGTAGACTGGGCCCCACCCACCTTCACCGCCGAAAGCGTGGAAGAATTGCCGGATTCACTCGGTTGGACAACTTGAGAT